AGTGATATATATATATACATACATACATAAGTGGTGATAAAGTAGATATAGTAGATATATACATAATATAGATAGAAATATATATAGAAAGAGATAATAGTTAGAATATAAACATAGATAAAGTTCATAAGTTTAATATAATGGTATAAAGGTATAGTTATATACATAAAAAGTGGTCCCACCCAGATTCGAACTGGGGTCCTAAGAACCAAAATCTTATATGCTGCCCCTACACCATGGAACCGTTATGAATAGATGGGTAGGTGTAAGTAGTAAGTAGTAAAAGGATGTAAGAAGTAATAAGTAAGAAGTAATAAGTAAGAAGTAATAAGTAATAAGTAAGAAATGGAAGTAATGTAAGAAGTAATAAGTAAATAGTAATAAGTAGGAAATAGTAATAGTAAGAAGTGTATAGTAGATGTATAATAAAGTAATAAAAAGATATAAAGGTAAAAAGATGATAAATAATAACATAATAAATAGGGAAGATAATAAATATATATAAGCTAAGTGTAAAGATAGAAATAGGTAATAATAATATAAGGCGGCTTAGCTCAGTGGCAGAGCGTCTCTCTCGTAAAGAGAAGGTCATGGGTCCGATCCCCATAGTCGCCTTCTAGGTATTTTTTAAAGGGAATAAACATATATAAAAGGAATAAACATATATAAAAGGAATAAACATATAGACAGAGAGTGATAAAGAAGAATATATAGATAGATAATATATATATAATATATATAAATAATATATAGATACATAATATATATAATATATAGATACATAATATATATATATAATATATAGATAGTGATATATATATATACATACATACATAAGTGGTGATAAAAGTAGAATATAGTAGAATATATAACATAATATAAGATAGAAATATATATAGAAAGAGATAATAGTTAGAATATAAACATAGATAAAGTTCATAAGTTTAATATAATGGTATAAAGGTATAGTTATATACATAAAAAGTGGTCCCACCCAGATTCGAAC